CAGGAAAACAGCAGTCACCAGCACAGCACTGTGCAAAATATTTAAGATTTGTGATAATAACAAGTACTGCAGTGGCACTCCGTGTGGTTCTCCACTTTGACATTCCCCATTACTGTGGCCTAAAGGTGAACAAAACAAAGTCAGATAATTAGATAGATAGATAGATAGATAGATAGATAGATAGATAGACAGACAATAGGCAAAATTAAAAACTGTTAAATAAAAATATCTGTAGCCAGCTGAGCTAAATAGATGCTTGCTAGATTTGCATTTTCTCCCATTCTGATATTTTGACTCTAAAAGGAGAGTGTATACAATGTGCATGGTGTAAGCATCATACTCTCTCCCAATCCACCCCTCACTACCTCTGCCCCTATTCTCTTCATTCTAAATAAAACCAGCCTGTACCCACAGGGTTGCTGACTCTTTGATTAGAAAGGACAAATGCAACCCCTCCCAACATTAATGCCCAACAAGGATGTGTCATTAGATGCCTCTGACATTAAACCCCATGAATATGCACTGGGGACATTTCTTCGATTAGACTGTTAGAAAGCTTCTGGAGCCCTTTAGGTTCTCACCTTGGTAAATGCTTTGGCCACACAGCATGTGGCTTCTGAGGTGATGTTTTTAGGGACCAACATCGTCTTCTTGGACCTTGCTGGAGTGGGGTACGCTCTGGAGAAGCAGCAGCCCATGCATTGGTAAATTGGGGCACCCAGCTTGGAGAAGTATTTGTTTTCCTTTAGCTTGCATTCTGGGCAAACTATTGCCAAAAAGAAAATGAAAAGGCAAAGAATAAAATAATCCGAACACAATTCAAAAAGAAACTATAAATTTTTCCTTACTATGGGATGGTATATAGTCTTTTTTCCATTGTGGCTAGAATAAATAAATACTTTTTGAATACTATATATGTAATCTTCATACATAATAACTAATTATATGAATTAGAGTTATGTTTGTGGGAAAACAATTTTGACAGATATTCACGGGAAATCTCAATAGCAGCAGTCTCTCTCTCTCCCAGCATGACTTCTCTATCCTAGTACTAATAGTACGCCTGTAAGGAAACACAGTTTGATAAATGAAAACATCATGCTCATCTGAAAGGAGAATTTTGCCCAAAGGCAAACTATTTTCCCCTTTAAAATCTACTATTACTCTTTCCAAAAGAAACTCCAAATATTGATAGAGAAAACTATGTCAGATTTAAGCAAGTTTGGTGAGAGCAGAGAGCCTGATATTAGAGGGGACATCTGCATGCAGGATCTAAGATTAAAATATTACCACTTGTCTACAGAAAAACTCGAACCAATAGTAGCTCACAATTTCACAGCAGATGGAAATATATCAGCTACTCTATAAAATGTTTCAAACAATACAGCAAAACAAATTTACTGCATAAAAAATGATTTTGCTTTTCTCACTCATTAACTGCTGTGAGACTTCATCTTTCTCAAGTCTTCCAGGAGAAACGTAAAATAAAAAAAAATTTTAAAAAAACCACCAAGACTGAGCTAAGTTGAATAAGAAACATTTTCTGCTTATAAAACTCAGATAAAGAATAATCAGGAATGTATTTCAGATGAAAATATACAGGCTGCTATTTAAATAGATATGTAAGATATCATTTTCATTAGAACATAATTTAATTTATGTTCACAATCTGCAAGTTCCTGGATATGAATCCAGCAGCCAGGATTTACCACATGTGAAAAGGAGGTGGATATATAATTAGTGGAGTTATTGATGTACATCTGGTTTTCTTATTACTGCAAATGCAAGTTGGGTCACACACCCTGCATTGTAAACTCTCCATCAGGAAAGGAGTGGAGAATGTGCAGAAACACAAACAATGTGGCCAGAATGACAGCTGCATGCTTTCTGTAGTAATCCATGGCTCTTCTGCAAAACAGGATGGGGGGAAAGTTAACTCTAAAATTGGCTTATCAGTCATAACAACAATCAGTAGTTTTAACAGTGCTACTAATAACAGTCATCAGTGCCTGGATCCCTCTGCTTACAGCTCCCACATACCCTAAAGTCATGTATAAAACAACAATTTGTCTTTTGGGAAGAGGTGGGAATTTCCATCTTCTCTTTTCTCACATCAACCAGTAGAATCGGGCTTAATGACAGCAACAATAAATTTTCCTTTTTAAATGTTCTGTAAAGAAGCCTCACTGTCCTTATTTGTAGTTAGTGTTGGGGAGGGAGATGAGGGGTGTCGCACAAGGGAGCCTTGGTGGTGATGGAACAGCTCTGTATCTTTTTTTTTTAAATATATTTTATTGATTTTTTTACAGAGAGGAAGGGAGAGAGATAGAGAGTTAGAAACATCGATGAGAGAGAAACATCGATCAGCCGCCTCCTGCACATCTCCCACAGGGGATGTGCCCGCAACCCAGGTACATGCCCTTGACCGGAATCGAACCTGGGACCCCCCAGTCCACAGGCCGACGCTCTATCCACTGAGCCAAACCGGTTTCGGCATGCTCTGTATCTTAAAGTGGTAGTTGTCACACTAATCTATACATGGGTTAAAATTTCATAGAACTACACACACACACACACACACACACACACACAATGCTAGTGAAATCTGGATAATTTCTGTGGGTTGTACCAATGTCAATTTCCTGGCTTTCTCATTGTACTATGTAATTAAGCAAGGTATTATCATTGAGAAAACTGGCAAAAGGGTATCCAGGACTTCCCTGTACATTTTTTGCAATTTCCTCTAAGTCTATACTTATTCAAAACAAAAAGTTTTAAAAAAAAGACATTTCAGAATGAAATTTAAAAATGCATGTGAGTCAAAACTTGTAGTTATATTTCATGTAGACTGACATATAAGACCACGGTTTTGCTAGATGTTTATATCTCATAAGAATGCTTTGTCAAACAGTAAAACTAACAGTTTATAATACAGAAAAATAGGCTGTATGAGTATAGGTAAGGCTAAAACATATGCACGTCATTCCTATCTGATGTATGTACTTATACACAAGTAACTATTGGTTTTATCTTCATCTATAATTAACAAATAAAAATTCTAAGTCAATAGTTCTCAAAGTGTGATTTGGGGGCCCTAAACACTTTCAGTGGGTCTGAGAGGTTAAAATGATTTTCATAATAATACTAAGATGCTGTTTGCCTTTTTCACTCTGATCCTTTCATGCGTGTTCAAAGAAATTTTCTAGAGCTTACATGACGTGTTATTACAACAGACTAAGTAAAGAAACACATACGAATATAGCTATGTTCTATTGGGCCAGTCTTTTTAAATTTTTGCAAAAAGATAAAACAATGCCACTCTTCTCATTGTTTTTTGTTTGTTTTGGAAATTGTCATTTTTATTATAAATATATGTTATTTGCGTTAACATGTGATGGGTTTGATGTTCTTGCTCTTGAAAGAATAAGTATTTTGAAACTTTTACTGGCATAATTTCTAAGTCAGTAAATATTGATGAGTATAACTTGATTTTTAAAAGATATTTGGGCTCTTCAATAATTTTTAAGAGCATAAACAGGTCTTGAGACCAAAAAGTTTGAGAGTCACTGCTTAAGTGATGTACAAAGCCACAAGGAAATTTTCAGAATTTTCCTTTTTAAACTAGCACCACTTTTGTGCTTTGATATTGCAGCTCATATATTATGAAAATTCAGCATTATGCAGTGAACATATATCAGAATTAATTCAGGAAAAAACATTTATAACAAGACTGCTGAATGTGAGAGCATAAAGTCAATCCACATTTTAGAATTTGCTTTATGATAAGGGAAACAGAAGATTGAAAATAACAGAACCCAAGT